ACAAAAATATGTTTTAATTTTAACTGAAATTGAAGGAATTTTGAATCAACTCCTTTTATGAAAACAATGATTAAAAGGTTTCCTGAAAGGTTTTTAACACAAACAAAACACACATAAATAGTAATACTATTATTATTTATTAGTGTTTCTAAAACATTCCAGCCAGATTTTTTACACCATAAAAGCATAAGCTTGACTTAAAACGAGTAAGAAAATAATACAAAAGTTTTGCTGAGGAAATGGCAGCATAAAATTTCAGTGAAATTCCAAAATTATGATTTTAAAAAAGCTTCTATTTATATAGCCAAAAGAAAAACAAAGTATGAATAAAAAAATTTAACTGTTGACTTCGAATAATTTATTAAATAAAGCAACAAAAAAATCAAAATATAAGTTTTATAATCGAAAGCATGAAAAATCTAAATAAAAAAAGATTGTTGAAATATATATTAACAGAATGAGATGTCAGTATATAAACAAAACATTTACGAAAAAATATTTTAATGGGAAAGATAAAAAATCATTTACATACGAGTTACTCATGCTACCAAAACAAAATAAACAAGACAACCATAAAAATGAAATAAGAAACACTTTTAAAAATTTAAAATTAAATTTGAAAGAAGAAGTTATATTTCATATATATATATTTTTTTCTTAAGTTTTAATTTTTATATTAATTGATTATACTTTATTGTATTTTTATTTATATACGAGTTCAATGGACGTCTTTGTAAAACGTTTTTTTTTTTTTTTTTTTTTTTAGATTTTAACTTGTAATTTTTTATGAGGACGTCAATAAGGCAAGTAGCCTTCGCCAGATGACGGAATAAACTATGATACTATCAACAATAATGATTAATACCTTAGTTAAACTAATTAATAGTATAAATTGCACATTCTAACATCTTGTGCAATATCTGTCTACTTTCTATATGCTATCTTTTTAACTCGACTTCTTCTGACTTTTACTCTAACTTACTTCGTTCTTCGTAAGCTCACATATTCTTGGTTCGCGGGTGGCCTCTAAATGACAATTAGCCGGGGATGATAAACCACAATACCCATCGGCAATGTTGATTCATCAAAATGGATAAAATACCTATGTGTAAGCACATACATACAATTATACATGCGTATAATTGTATGTATGTAATGTATATGCGTATAATTGTAAGTATAAAAGTTAAATATAACCTTATCCAAACGTAAAATATAAGTTAAATCAACTTAAAATACAACGTTTTGACAACGAAATATACAACGTTGAATTAACACATAAAAAATTTGAAGCGAACAGACGCATTTTTTATACAGCGTTTAAATTAAACAAACCTCATTTAAAAATAAACAAAAATTATTTATCAAGAAGTTGGAGGAACAAAATATATGTATATTACAAGAAAAAGAAAAGTTGTTGAAAGAACACGAAAAAAGCTTCGAGTTGATAATGAGTGCAAACTTAAAAATATTAACGGAAAGAATAGAGAAAATTGAAATATATGTAACAAATAATAAATCCAACATTATAAATTTCGAAAAAGATCTAAACGATGTCAAAACAACATTAAACTTCCAAGAAACAAACCTTATAGATAAAATAAAACAAATTAGAAAGTGTTATGACAACGAACTAAATATTTTGACCAAAAAAACAATCCATCTCGAAAACAGATCTCGACGAAACAATCTGCGAATAGATGGAGTAAAAAAAAAGTAGGTGAAATCTGGACTGAATGCAAGGATACAGTTAAAGATATTTTCAAAAACCAACTAAAAATAAATAGCGAAGTTGTTGTAGAAAGCGCACATAGAGTAGGCAAAACAAAAAATAGTAAAATACCTAGAACTATAGTTCTGAAACTTTTAAATTATCAAGACAAGAACAAGATTCTTAAGGCCGTTAAAAACTTGAAAGGTACTGGTATCAACATCAACAAAGATTTTGCAAAGGAAACTATCGAGAGTCGCAAAAAGTTATGGAAGAAGTCAAACGTCTACACGGAGTCGCAAAAAGTACGCCATTATCAAGTATGATAAAATTTTTTGTAGAGAATTTAAAAATCCCATCCCTAACTTTAAGTCCTAAAAAGAAGCCTTTCTAAAAGTAAATGCTCAAATAAAATTATATTTAAAAAAAAAGCATGGCTGGAATCAGTGACTTTAAATCCATGCGTTTTAACTTTAATGAAATAAATGATGTAAATATAGACCCCGATATAAACTATTCCTACGAGGCGCTTACGGATTGCTCATATCACTTTCCAAGCGATTTAGAAGGGTTTCTTTTTAAAAATGTTCGTGACAAATGTTTAAATAAAATTATGATTCTACACGCAAACATTCGAAGTTTTAATAATAATTTTGAAAAACTTTTAAACTTATTAGAGCAAACAAAAAATCGTTTTAACATAGTTTGATTAACTGAAACCTGGATTTCAAATAACATAGATAATACTTCGAACTTTTATATTCCTCATTTTTAATTAATTTCGTTTAAGAGACAAGTAAATAAACGCGGCAGAGGAGTCCTTATATATGTAAATGAAAATATTGTTTATTACATTAGGAATGATTTAAGTGCTTCTAATAGCGATAAAGAAATTTTGACTATTGAAATTATCAACAATCAATCTAAAAACATATTAATAAGCTGTTGTTATCGCCAACCTGACGGCGTGAGCGAGAACTTGAGCATTTTTTTTGAACAAAGTATTTTCAAAAGAGGTATCAAATAAAACAAAAAGAACTCCATTATTGGAGACATAAATATGAATTGTTTTCTTTAAAATGAAGATAACAAAATTAAAAACTTTTACGACTCCTTTTTTGAGGCGGGAGCAATTCCTTTAATAAACAGGCTAACTAGAGTAACAAAAAACTCGGCGTCTTTGATTAATAATATTATTATAACAGATATATTGAACAATGATATTCAAACAGGTATCCTAAAACCTGATATAACTGACCATTTTCCAATATTTTTGACAATTAATTCTGAAATAAAAAATAAAATAAACAAAATTAAAATCCGCATTTTTAACCATACAAATATAAAGTTGTTTAAAAACCAACACTCGTTATTGCACTGGAAGCATATTAACTTCAATGACAATGCAGACAAAATTTACGATTTTTTTGAAATTTATGATTTTTTAATGATGCAGACAAAGTTTATGACTTTTTTGAAACCTTTTACTCCGTTTATGACGCAAACTTTCCTATTATTGAAAAGACAATAACTCCAAATAATAAAAATGACCCTTGGATAACAAAAGGATTTAAAAAATCACCCAAGATTAAACAAAAGCTGTATATAAAATATATTAAAACAAAATGATCAGATAATGAGAAAATATACAAAAATTACAAATATCTCTTTGAAAAAGTTCGTAAAAACTTGAAAAAAAATTATTACACAAGACTCCTAGATAAATTAAAAAATAACACAAAACGCAATTGGCAAATAATGAACGAAATTACTGGCAGTCAAAAAAAATGCTCAGGTTTGTCATCTTCCCCAGATGGTTATAGTGGATAACAAACGCATATGCGAACCAAAGGCTATAGCTCATGAGTTTAATAAATTCTTCACTGACATCGGTCCTAAACTAGCAAATAAAGTTCCTTATACCAAAGCAATATTTAACGATTTTCTTGTACAGATGGATAATTGCATTAGTTCCAACGAATTATATTCTGACCTAACTTTTCATGAATTCGAAAAAGCATTCAAATCCCTTAAAAAAAAACAAAGCAAGCAGAGCAGATGACATAAACGGTAATATAGTTATAGAATGTTTTGAACTATTAAAGGATATACTTTTTAAGGTTTATGGAGCATCTATCAACCAAGGAGTTTTTCCGGATTAATTAAAAATTGTTAAAATTACCCCAATTTTAAAAGAGGGAGATCAAACAAATATCAGTAATTATCGTCCTATCTCCGTCCTCTGCACATTCTCAAATACAATTATCTCCTTTCTAATAATTTGTTATACGCCAACCAGTTTGGTTTTAAAAAAAATAATTCGACGGAATTATCCAATTTGTACGTGAAATTTCAAATTCTTTTCAAAATCTAAATTTACATTAGGTGTTTCGACCTATCGAAGGCGTTCAATATAGTAAATATATCATAAAAATTTGAGCAGCCGTGGCGCAGTGGTTAGAGTTCTTGCTCAGAACCCTTAGGTCCGAGGTTCGACGCCAGCTCTAGCCCAACAAGTGACATTGGTACGGAAGGAGGCGTGAACTTCCTGTTAAATGCTCTCCCTCGGTGCTCTATGATAAGACCGTAAGGACTTCTGGGAGCACCTAAATAGGGTAAAGTAGGGTAATTTCGGCAGGGAGATAATTTGGGCATCACTTCAAAAGACACCTAAAAATATTTATTTAATGAAATATCAAAACTATAATTGAGTATTATAGAAAGATAAACAGTTTTTCTAAAAATATTGGTTTAAACTTCTATTTTAACATTATAGTTACGTTATTTTATGATTATTAGCTTTTTCTTAACATTTTTGCCTTTCTGAAAATAGAGTGTAAATGATTTTTTCCGAAAATTTCTACCAAAAATTTGTATTTATTTCATTCAAAAATATACACTGAACAAAATGTGAGAAACAATAAAATTAAACTCAAAGTATTTTACAAGGTATAAGAGTTTCCCCTTGGACTGCTTTAAGGAGATAATTTCGGCTTATAAATAGTTCTTAACCCCTTTTTGCATAACTTTTTTTTATCGAACTAAACTAATAATTCTAGAAGCATTCTATGACCTAACATCCAAAAAAAAAATTAAAAATAAAAAAAAAATTTTTTAAGGTCAATTAATTGCTAAATAATTAATTGTATCATATATGATACATCATGCAGTAGTGAAACTTCATGAAAAAATTATAAACTAATGTTTGTTGCTAAACAGAGAGTTTATCTTGGAATATGACCTTGGTAGTTAAATATACTCAGTAAAGATATCATTATATATAAAAAATCTATTGATGGAAAGCTTTAAAACAGTTGCGGTCTTTATTAAGACACAGAGCAGTGTCACACTTTTCACAAAATAAATATGTTAAGGCAGAGCACTTGTCATATTTGCAACGAGCCCGCTTTTCATTGAAAATGGGCCAATGTCCAACTTGATCAGACTGAATTGCTTCATGGGTAATGGCAATTTTTGAGCCAACACGTTGTGTGATGTCAGCAAGTGATGGGCGACCTGCTTTTCGTTTACGCGACACCTGGTAATTAGACAACAAATCTGCTACCGCCAATTTGAATTTGACAAGTGGAGTTGACGGATTACGCTTTTGCCAAAGAATCCAGGCATTGATTATGGACATATCAATCAAGTGGAAAAAGATCCTGTGATACCACTTTTTTGACCGAATCTTGTTCCTGTAATAGCCAAGTAGAGAATCAAGCAAGTCGACTCCCCCCATGTGCTTGTTGTAGATAGTGACTACTCCCGGACAGGAAATGTTGATATGACACATATCTTTTCTTGAAAATCTTCTAACCTCAATTGAAGGTTCACTTCCAATAAAATTGGACATCAAAGTTACAACTTTGTTGTCAAACCAGGAAACTACCGATACATCAACTCCGTCAACCTTGGCAACATGTTCTGTAAATGCTCCGCGACCCCTTTGCTTCATTTCCTTATCTGACAAGACTGGGCAATTTCCAACACGGTTCCTACGTGCAGTTCCAACCATTTGAATTCCCCTCTTGAACATATAAACATTTAAACTAATGCTATTGAACCAATTGTCAACATACAATTTATGATTAGTGTCATCGGGCAGGATTCGGGCTAGGCGCATGACAACGTTACTAATTGCCCCAAGGTCTGGTTCATTCTCAAAGCAATTGTTGCCACTTCCTCCACAGTAAACTTCAAAATTATAGCTGAAGCCAGAGACACCACTCAGAACAAAAACTTTAAACCCCCATTTGTGTGGTTTTTTAGGGTTGTATTGTTTGATTAAATGTCTCCCTTTGAACGGAATAATCTGCTCATCAACCGCCAAATTTTCTTCAAATGGAATACTGTTCAGCTGTTCATTCATTTTGTTTATGAGAGGGCGTATCTTAAAAAGCTTATCGTCTTTGTCAGCAGAGTTGTTGTTAGCAAAATGAATAATGTTTTTTAATTTTTCAAAGCGGTTTACGGGCATAATATTAGCTACATGAGCAATTCCAATGGAAGACGACCAATAATCTCTTGTGCTTGGGAGTTTGACAACAGACATATACAAAACGCATGCAACAAAACTAATTATATCTTCCTCTTTTACAGCAACTGGTTTTTCAGGATTGGTTTGCATGGAATACAACGTTGTCTGATAGGCAATTTCTTGAAAAAGCTCTTTTGGAAAAATCCGATAAAAGTATGACAGTTCTGAACCAAGACAATCCAATAACTCGTCCATTTTTTGTTAGTAGTTACCTTTAAATTTGTGGTCTTCTTGTTTATTTGGAAGATTTTTAACTTTCCACAATAGCTGAGATTTTTTTGCAGGCTTTTTTCCATTTGCGTTTGGTTTATTGGTAGCTTGCACCACTGTTGCACCTTCTTTTTTACCCGCGCTGCCATTTGCTCTTCCTAATATTGAAAGTAACTGATTGTCATTGCTGTCAGCATTTTCATCACTGCTATCAACTTCCTCACTGGACGAAGAAGGTATTGGCAAAAACAGTTCGCAATCAGTTATATTTTCTTCATCGCTGGAATCTCCGCCTGAGGAGCATAGATCTGAGTCGTCATCAGCAAATTTGATCAAGACAGGCGTTTGTATTCTGTGGATACCAGAAGGCTTTCTACCATAGAAAGAAGTTGGCTTGATTGCTAAAGATTAGAAGAAATAATAAAAACGTTTTATAAAAAAAGAAATAACAATAAATCAAAAATATGAAATTAAAATTTTTTGCTTTAGATGCATGATGTATCATTTCTGATACACTTACAAAAAGAGTTGTTGAGGAATGAAAGTTTAAGAAATTAGGTAAATAAAAACGCAAAAGGACTACCAATAGGTATAAGAAACTTTGGGAATTTTTGTGAGTTTATGATTGAAAGGAATCTTTCTTAACAAAATGATGTACTTACAATAGTTAGTTGATTTGCTGCCGGATGCCATTTTGATAATATGAGAAATAAAATTGAAAGTAAAATTTGCAAAAAACATTCCAAGTACGGTGGCTACACTCACTTAAATATTGCACGCTTTAAATAAACTTAATTCCCATTTAAAATTCCTGAGCGTTTGACCAGAGATACACAATTTATAAACTGTATCATATTTGATACAGTATGGAGAAAGGGGTTAATTTCGGCAGTGCCGCATTTGCCGACCTGTTGTTTCTCCAAAACTAAAATGGAAATATGCGTATTAAATATTATGTATAGAAGAAATTGATTTTAGTAACTCAGATAATATTAAACTAATAACGAGCTAGTAAAAAAGTGAATTTAGTTAGTGTCACTGTGAAACTTATCAAAATAATAGTTCCCCACAATATATTTTAAAATTATGTCATACATAATATGTATATAATAAATTTATATTTTGTTATATACAATAATTATTATTGTATATAACAAATCATTTATTAATTATATACATACTGCTGAATATTATTGAATAATATACATATAATAATAATAATACATATATATATATATATTTATATAAATATATATATATATATATATATATATATATATATATATATATATATATATATATATATATAAATGTATATATATATATATATATATATATATATATATATATATATATATATATATATATATAAATGTATATATATATATATATATATATATATATATATATATATATATATATATATATATATATATATATTTATATATATATATATATATATATATATATATATATATATATATATATATATATATATATATATATATATAAATATATATATATATATATATATATATATATATATATATATATATATACATATGTAAACATTATTTTACAGCATCATATAATGAGTTCAAAACGTGTAAAATATGGTAATTGGTCACAAGAATCATTAAAAATGGCAGTAAATGCAGTTTTAGTTGATGGTTGCTCGAAATATTCTGCTGCTAAACAATATAAAATACCAAGACAAACACTACATGACTATATAAAACGAGCACCTGTTGATAATTTTGTTAAAAAGTTACGTGCAGGACACCCAACAACACTCTCAGCTTTTCAAGAAAAAGAGCTCGTAGAAGTTCTTCTGACCATGTCTCAGAGATTGTTTGGTTTGTCTCCAAAAGATGTAAAACAAATGGTATTTCAGTTTTGTGAAGAAAATAGAATTATTCACAAATTTAATTGTAAATCCAAGTCAGCAGGAAAAGAATGGTTTAGGGGTTTTTTGAAACGCCATAATGAACTCTCTGTCAGAGTTGTCAATAAGTCAAGAATCCACGTATTCGAGTGAAACCTGAATTTTTAGATCAAGCCCCAATAGGTTCTATTTCTGGTGGCAGCAAAAACGGCTGGATAACAACTGAGTTGTTTGAAATATGGTTTGATCATTTTTTACAAGCAGTCCAGCCTCAGTCAAGAAACCAACCAGTTCTTCTAATTTTAGATGGACATTCAAGTCATAAAAAAAATCTTAGTGTTATTAAAAAAGCGCGCCACTCAAATGTTATTATTTTATCACTTCCATCCCACTGCACCCACAAACTGCAACCACTTGATGTTTCGTTTTATAAAAGCATCAAAATATTCTATGATCAGGAGGTTAGTACTTGGCTTCGTCACCATCCTGGTCGTCCCGTAACTGAACTAGAGGTTGGTGAATTATTTGGAAAAGCCTATGGGAAAGCTGCAACTGTTCAAAATTGTCAGTCAGGGTTTAAAAAATGTGGAATATATCCATTTGATAGAAATGTGTTTACTGAAGAAGACTTTGCTGCAGCCAAGGCTACTGATCACTCGTATGTTGTATCAAAAATTTCAAAACCAAATAATACCTCTGAAATGCACTCTGCTCTCAACAATGGGTTAGACTCTGCTAAAAAATTAGATAGTATTGATTTTGTTACAGATTGTGTTATTGACACTCAAAAAGGTAAATCGTCATAAATGTTGTATTATTTTTAACATCTTCCGCATTTTATTTAAAATACAAATATGACTTTTTTAAAATCAAGCAAAATATTAACTTATCTGTTGTTTTATTAACCTAAAAAAAGGTTTCTGAAAGAAAGTTCAAATTTTTTAAAAACATTTTAACTATTTTTTATAATTTGCATGTTGCCTATTTTTATTCACCCTCTTTAGTTAAATAATTTTTATTTAGAACCTATTTCACCAAATTCATCATTTACACTTCAGAAGTCATCAGAATTAGCCACCTCACACGATGAAACCTCACAACCTTATGGTGTTACACTTGGATCACTAGCTGGACTTGACATTGAAAATGCTAAGCGAACAGGTATAAAAAGGAGGGTAAATCATGCTGAAAAATTACTGGATCACCATATAAATCTCAGCTAGAGGAATCTTTAAACTTGAAATATAAGAACAGACAGCCACGTAAAAAGTGCATTAAAAAAAGTATATCTACTCATCAAAAGACGTGTTTGAAAAACCTTGATGCTAAAGGTGCGATTAATAAACAACTTTGTGCAAAGTGTCAATACAGTTATGGTGATCCTGTCGATCCTTATTTAAAAGATAATTGGGACAAATGCCTTAAATGCTGTAGATGGTGGCATGAAACATGTGCTGCTATATGTGGTGTTTATACTAAAAAAGTATTTACTTGTGATGACTGTATAAAGCACTGATTCTTAAAAAAAAAGTTATATGTCATATATTGATAAAATGTGTTTTAACTTTCTTAAATAAATCTCTTGTTAAAAAAGTTTCCTTTGAGTTTTGTTTTTTATTTTTTTAAGTTTAACTATTGAAGTTATGTAAAATATTATTTTATGAACTACTTATAAGCTTATAAACATAAATTCTTATTTAAACAGAATTTAGAAATAATCATCGAAATCGTAGAAACTAGTAATCGTTTCATTAACAATTATACTTTGGAAGCACATTTATATTTAATAAGGTTTCTGTTTTGGGTGACATTCATACCTTAATAAAAAAGGTGACATTCATACTTTAAAAATACATGACATTCATACTTTAATAAAATAAATAGGTGGTTCAAAAATTATTATTTTTTGCAACTGAAACGCCCTCAATTAAGTGCTAATTAGGTGTAACAAATTCTATTTAAGAGACAATTTTTTATACAATCCAGATTAATAGCTGTTTATAATATTTTAAATATATTAATGAGTTTTCAACAAACTTCTTAATTTTCATAACTATGCCGAATTAACCGTACCATAGTGCCGAAAATACCATACTAGGTCGCTTATTTCGTCATTTTTGAGTATTTTGTAAAACAGGTTTTACGTAAAACTTTGTAAGTTGGAAACAATTTTTTAACTATTATTTAATAGATATATCTTATTAGATAAATAATAGTTATATTTACAATGTATATAATCTATATATAAAATAAACAGAAAAGGAAAACAAAAAGAGTCCTTACATAAAGCGTATTTTACAATTAACATAAAACGTATTTTACAATTAAAAATGTTCTAAATAAAGGTACATAATTACAATTAGAAGAACCTTATTATGTCATCGGAAAATAAAATAAAATTTTTGAATGTATGTTTGAAAATTGGAAAAGTGTAAAATATATCAAAATTTGGAGCAGTGTAAAATATATCAACCTTTTACAAGCTAAATGCTTGTAAAAGGTTCTAATGATAAGATCAGTTCGATCTTTTTTCAGAAACCTTGTTTGTATTTGTTAAAAAAAAAACAAAAAAAAAAACATAAAATATTACGCAATGCTGACTTAAAATAAAATGTTGGGCCAACTTTGTTTTTTGGCTATTGGCGTCGTCGCATTTGTAACCAAAATGATACAAAAACAACAATTACGGTCAATGTTGGGCCAACACAACGCGCAATATTGCACCGACGTTTTATCAACGTATGAGAGCTATCTGGGAATTAGATTAGAGCCGGCATCGAAACTCAAACCTTTTGGTTCTGAGCCAAAACTCTTTTTTTTTTTATTTAAAAAAAAAAAAAAGCATCAAAATGTTGTTTCAATAAAAGAGCTCTTTCATTAAATACCCCATTTTACTACAGTTTCTCCTAAGTGGATAATGAATTGTTCAAACATTAAGACGCTGCAAAGATTTTTCCAAAAAAGTAATACATAGTAACCAATTAAACCTCCAATTTTATTTTTCTGTTTTAAAATTTTTTTGGTATAAAACTTGTTGATTTTTGTTGATATTATTTTTTGTTTGTTTTTTGATAAAATTTAAAAATACCCCAATAGTATCATTCTATTTACAACTTTTACATTGACACATTCGTTTAATGTAGAAAGTTATTATACGCAAGCATAGTGTCAAATACAAATACTAAAATTTTAAAGATGGTGACAGCCTTTAAATACAAAAATATTTTTTGAGTAGCAACATTCTATTTCAAGTTTTACAAAGTAATTATTATTTTTATATTTTTGATAGAATGAAGTAGTTATAAAGAAAATTGAATTGTTGATTCAAAAAGGATAAAAACAAGATAAAGATGTTTTAGTATATAAAAAATTAAGATTCTCTGCTACATTTCGCGAGGTTACAATTATTTTGTTCATTCTCCGTTTTTTGAAAAAATCGAGTTATTAATTGTCTCATGTACCTCAAAATAATGGTTTTCTACTATATTAAAACCTAATTTAAAATTGTAAGAGTTTTGGAGAAAACATAAGTAATAAAAATAATTTTAAACGCCGTCTCCTAAAGTTTTTGTTTTTTAAATCGTTTTATCTCAAAACAAAAAAAACTGTAGATAGAACAAAATAATTTTAATCTTGCGATTTATCTAACTGCTAAAAGCGTGATTTGTTTATATTTTCAAAATTCTTTTTCTAAAAATCTGATGGTGAAAATTTATAATATTTAACTTTTTTAATTTATAATAGTCTTATCTTGATTTGAAATTGTTTTCAGATCTGAGTTTTCAATTTTTTTTTCTAAATAAAAATAGAGTTCACCTAACACTGCTTTTATTATAATTTATAGGTGTATGATACAGTTACATTCATATATATAGGTGAAAAAAATATATAAATAAATGTGAATAGTTATAATGCATATAATAGGCTACAAATTCAACAAGTTACTTATAAACAATGTAACAAAATATTTATATACAAATTGTATATAAATTTATTATGTTACATAGTTTATATACTATGTGATTTTTTGCTTTTAATTTATACTTATTTTTAATAATATAGGTATAAACTATATAGTATAGTTTAAATTATATATTACAATATAACATACTATAATCATTTAAAGATGTATTATATACAACTTGTATGCAATAAATTTGTGTGCAAGCTTTCACTATCAATCTTGGTAAAAACTTTGAAAAAAGGTTCAATTTTTTGATGAATCAAGGTAAAAAATTACTTAAATAAAATTCTCGTTCCGGCCATAATTTTTTAACAATTCCGGCAAACCCAGTTCTGGCCGAAATTCAAAATTTCCGATCCGGTACACCCCTAAAAATATTATGGGTCAGTGGTTTTTTGTGATAACTCATACAGAATTTGTTACTAAAGAGTTACAATATTATAACAAGGGGGGATAGAGTTGTCAAAAAAGGTTAAAAATTGCGTAACGTAATTAATGGACAACGCCCAACCATTTACGTTTTTTTTTTTTTAATCTCATCATGTCTACACTTCTTAAAAAAAATCTATTTTTACACTACTTAAAAAAAATCTCTTCCATGGTTTTATCCCCAAGATAAAAAAAAAAAAATCACCTAAAAAAGAGACTTTTTTAAACAATATTTTTAAGTCTTTAACGCGTAAGAAAATTGTAAGAGCAAACAATTTAAAACTGCATATAATGTTGCAAAAGGAAATCAGTCCTTTAACAATTTTGAAATGGATAAATTGATCTTCAAGAATTTAACGGAGTTAAAATAGGTCGTATTCTTCATTCTACAAACGTATAGTAATTTTGTAGATTTCATCCTTTTTCAATTAAATTAGATAAAAAACCTGCTAACAAATGCTTTATTCTGCTTTTGCAGAAAATATTATATCTCAGTTAATAAATTACAAATTAATAAAGAAATTTACTTCTATTTATTTATCGACAGTTTAATAAATTTTAAAATAAGCAGCAGTGGTGTCCGACTAGTCAAAATTTGCATTAAAACAGAAATGCAAAAAGTTCTGGGATGTGTTGTACAGCCATTTTTCAAGCTATTTCACTAGTCATAAAATCGAAGAGTAAAATTTTATTAAAAGACTACTATGAAATGAAAGAAAAATGATTCGTGGATTCCGTGAATAACTTGTAGAAAAAACATATTCTAAAAGTTTAGTTCATTTGTTACACGCTCTTCATACTATCCCCATTTCCTCAAGTAAATACGAACGAGGATTTTTACGAAAGAATCTGATCATCTGATCATTAAGTTAGATGGATTACTGCTAACAAGCTTTAATCTTTTAAAAAATATGTTGATTCGCAGTTGTTTATAAGAAAGTGTTTAGCTGTTAACAATAAAAGTCAGCAAAGGAGACGAGATGACTTGTCAAACAAAAAACCTTGTGATTTATAATAGAAGTTTTTCGTTTCGTTTTGTTTGCTATTTTATACAGTGGCATGACCCCTCACTCCACTTAACTCCCCCCTCCCAAACCCCACAAAAAAACTTGTAATTTTATATTGAAAAATAAACTCTCTAAATCATTAGTTGATTAGAAAGTTACCTGCTTGGGTAGTGCGTTCTAGTTCTTTTCTAATCTATTATATAATTGGTTGTGGTACGAAACATATTTTGGAACATATTCACGTCTTATTTTAAGATGGTGACCACGTGACTATGAGTTAATAAATTTTGATTGATATATATTATTATTTATATCAAATCGATGTATTAGTTTAAAAATTTGGATTAGATCGCATCGTAGGCACCGAAACTCAAGTTATGATAGATTTAGTCTTTTTAGCTTTTCGTAGTATTGAAACTACAGGTAGTAGCAGTGTGGCCTGCTAATAGCCCTGAATTGTATAGAAAATTAATGATCACAGTTAGATCATCTCTAGGGAAACTTGAAATTTCAAATGTTAAACAACTATAATAAACTAACTAAATATAAAAATTTCTTTACTATGTGCCGAAGAAAAAACCTCAAAATCTGGTAAACTCAATGTCAAAATGACTATTTTAGTGTTTATTAGGGAAAAGTGGTTCTGAAAAATATTGAAATGCTTTTTTTATGATTTTTCTTTTGTAAATTGCTGTTTCGATATATTATTTGAAATCTATTAGTGACATTTGGCCAATCTTCTTTTAATATTAAATAACATGTTTCAATCTTTTTTTTTTTTGATTTCCATAATGCAGGTACAGATTTTATTTATAATATTAAAAAATAAATACATTTTAGCTTTCATTTTATTTTATTTTTAATTAATGTTTTACAAAAAAAACCCAGCAAACATGATGTTTGAGCGTACTGCTGTAGTTTTGCCCACAGGTTAATAGTGGACCATTAGTGACAGCCGCCAAAAGAGGCTTGCCGATAATTAACCACCATTAAAATGTCGGAAAATTATCAGCTTGCCATTTACAGCATCTGCCACTAATGATCCACTAAGTAACCGATAAGAAAAACTCCAATAATCCGAATTAATGTTTGCTGGGAAACTAGTGAGCTTTAATTTATGGCCATATATGGTGTACCACCATCGGAATTAGAAAAAAAAAAGGTCGGCAATATATTGCCGAACTCAAACTGTTGGAGGTTAGAATTAGGTCGGCAAAAACAATTTGACATTAAGGGGTCACCATAAAACATAGAAACGAGGTCGGCAATTACTTGTGGATCTCAATATATATATATATATATATATATATATATATATATATATATATATATATATATATATATATATATATATATATATATATATATAAATTAGTAGAAAACCACTTAACAAAAGTTTTTTTCATTTTACACTGTGTTTCATCAAAAAAGACTCATCAGAAATCATCAGATTTCTGATGAGTCTTTGTTGATAAAACACAAAGTACAAAATGAAAAAAATTTTTGTTAAGTGGTTTTCTACTAATTTATAATTGCTCTGTTCTTCTAAGAACATTGAGCACTCTATTTTGTAGAAATTTTTTTAAATTGTTTAAATATATGTATATATATATATATATATATATATATATATATATATATATATATATATGCGTGTTTACGATTGACGATCACGATATCCTATCCATACCACATTAAAGTTGGAATTTTATATCTTCTCTTTGATGATAAGGCTTCACTATTACTAACAAGTCTCACCAATCCCAAAAACCAGTTTAACGTAACGCCCTGGACATATATATATTTATATATGTATATATATATGTATATATATATATATATATATATATATATATATATATATATATATATATATATATATATATATATATATATATATATATATATATATATATATATATATATATATATATATATATTAGACCCCTGCTAAGCAATATTTTGAATCGAATCAAAAAAGTGATTCAAGACTCAACCCTGATTGAATCAAATCAAACTAATTTCTTTATAAACTATTTATTAATAGTTTATAATGAAATAAGTTCAAGGTATTTTCATTATAAATTTTCACAAACTTTAGAGTAATAACATAATTAGAATGTTATTACTCTAATTACTGTAGCCGTCATAGAAATTTCAAAAAACAAAATAAAAAAAGTATTTTTGGAACTAAATTTACTGAGAATAGTATGTTGATGCTTAGGTCATATGCCAATGTTTTGCAAAAAATTTCATAAATTCTGAACAAAAATAGCCCTACAAGTTCACTGCCTCTGCACTAACATGATGACAATGACTTAATAATAGTTTAAATCATAATTTAATTAAATCTGAATTTTGTTTCAACTAACCAACGTTAAATTTAATATGGGTTAGTTGAAACAAAATCTCTTGAGGATTGCTGCGTTATTAATTATTATTTCAAAATTTCTATGGTATTTAGTGAATTGGTGTTATAATTTCAATAATATAAATAAAAAATCAAAATATTTAAACCAAAAACATTTTCGTTTGAATTTTGCGCCTATTAGTATGCTTCGTGTCTACATGGCAAAGTAAGGTACCAATTAAACATACTTAGTCATAACCAATAAAAAAAATTCAAAAACCGGATTTATTAGAAAATATATTCATTTTAAAAACTTAATTACATTTAAAACAAGATTTTGAACAATTTTGAAGCATCCAGTTTGGATTTTTTTGACATTCACCAGACTGGGCCCATTTAGCACAATTTGCATCTTTATCATTGCATGTGTCTAAAATAAATTTTTGATAAATATTTTTTACTATAAATTTCAATATCATGTTTTGATATGTGCTTATTTTAGAAGCTATAAAATCTTAAAATAAAAAACTTTATGATTTCCACCTATTAGCAATATTTTTACAAAAAAAAATTTGAAAAAAAAGAAACCTTGACAAGATTTGCAGCATTTTCTTTTCATAATTTCCAAATAATTTCGATCAGTTGTTTTGCAATAACCTGTATTGGCCCATCCTACGCATCTTTCATCTAAATCTTGGCCAACCTTACATTGAACTGTTGGAGAAATAGTTGGTCCTGCAGTTGGTGGCGCAGTTGGCGGACCTGTAGGTGGATTACCACCTAAGTAGATTAGAAAACAGGAAACATTGAAATCACTTAAAACCTTATAATTTAATTTAATTATTTTTAAAATATCAATTGTGTGGAGTCAAAGAAAAGTTTTTACCTCCCTTGCAGTTGTACATAGCATTAATTTGTTGTATGTCCATAGTGCTAAATCCTTGTGCTCTGCCAATAATCTTTTGTTTGCTCGGATCTTTAGTTGTAATTGTTACTCTACCATTACCAAATGCTGTTTCATCATAGTGCATCATTGAATGATAGTCATAAGGAAATCCCAAGCTGTTGATTGTGTTACGATCAAATTTGTCAAAGTTATACCTCATATCTTGTGAAAAAAAATAAAAAATAAAAAAATTAACGCACTGTTGAAAATTTCGAGTAGGTTATTGACAATAAATAATTTTTAAGGAGTTTGTCAAGTTAGACTAAAATTAATTATTTATTTTCTCTCTCTGTGTTTTAAGATAAAATTAACAAAATAATTAAATAAACAAATTTCTAAAAAAAAAAAATTATACTCACAGAATCTTGTTTTGTAAAATAATAAATTGAAGAAGAACTTGGATAGGTAAAATGAATAGATTGAGATAGTCAAATATTGAAATAAATAGAAAAATATGCATAGTAGTTGTTCAACATTTTATTCACACTTAACACACATATATATACTTCACAGGGTGTTGCTCTCCCAACACTTAGCGAATTTGATAAACCTGTTTATGCAGACTCATTATTAGAGATACTCTGAATATTATTTCAATGTAAGATCCACTTCATAATGTAAAAAAAAATGTTAAGCATCTTTGCTTTAAATTCTTTTCATTGCACATACCTAATAATTTTTATGTACAATTGTTGTCTCAATAAATAGCAACAGTACTTTATCTTTTTGATAGTACATGTTTCTAATTAGACATTATACAGAAAGTATAACACATATCTGATCCATCAGTCCATAGTAATAATTGCTTGTATAAGTTGTTGCTTCCAACATAAATATTTAACTACCTATAATGCAATTTATTGTTGACTTGTTGACTCTATTTTACCATTTTAAACTCTTTTATACTGTTGCATATCAACTACCCAATATCCAATGCTTCTTAATTTTTATAGTTTTTTTTCATAGCTTCACATTATTTTTTTATAATTTAAGCTAATTTGCATTCATCAAACCGTTTCTTAACATTGATTTGACTTTTTTGGAATAATTCTGCCTTTCTACAAAATTTAGCTAACTCATCATAACTCAAATCTACCTAAGCTTTTGCGGTAATCCTACAGTAAAGCAGCCTAAAACAACTTTATTTTTTCGATTGTTGGTTTCTTTTCAGTCGAGACTCTTTAAGCATAAGAAATATTTTTTGGAATAATAAAAGAAACAAATTTGTTGCCCTAAAGATAGTCGATGTATGTACTAAAGCCAATAAGCATTTCATATGTTTAAAAATTCTCCACTAAAAAGAGCGTAACAAGCAAAAAAATGAAAGGCCACTTAACTTTACTGGCTTTTGCTTGGCTACTTGGCCGGCACAATACTGCTTTTTTATGTGTTTTAGCTAGTTCATGTTTGCCTAAATTTTTTGATTTTGCCAGGTTAATTTGGAACTTTGTTATTATCCTTCTATGGATAACTGAAAATGATGTATGCATACCTTAACACCACCTTTTATTTTATGCATCAACTCATTTATATGTGTTGCTTAGCAATTATAACTTTTATCAAACAAATAGTTTGTGTTTTATTCATTACTTCATAAATTTTTACCTGTCTACCCAGAATGAGTTACAGGTAACTCATCTTCCTTTTCCGATTTAGCTAATAATAACTTATCTACATTCAAACCCTAAGATAATCAGTCTATTTACCTTCATAAGTTGCTGGTAATGCCAGTTTTGCTTATTTGAAAGACATAAGAAAGTTATTTGATTTATTTCCATAATTGAATGGTTCATCATTATCTTGAAAAAGATTGAAAGTAAAATTAATTTTAAAAGAGAATAAATGATACAAAACCGTAAATTTGAGATAAGTCACATGTTCTTGAATAAAAACAAGCTAATGTTAAGCTTACTATTAAGTTTATTGGGAAGTTATATCCTTTTAAGACTAAATATTTAGTCCTACAAAATATTTTATCACAAACAGTTAAATTTGCATCATTATTAAAAATTAATGCTTTATTGCATAAGCATTAATTTTTAATAATGATGCAAATTTAACTGTTTGTGATAAAATATTTTCTAGGACTAAATATTTTCAACACAATCATTTAAGCATTACATGAAAAAAATAAATTTAGAATTATAAATAAAATTGTAAATAGCTGCCTCACTCCCAAATGTTAGAAAAATCATGGCATCTTTTTCTTAATTGGAAACATACATTTAATTACAAAATTTCATTAAACTGTATAAAAATATCTAAATAGATTTTAGAACAACCTTTAAACAATTTTTAACTTTTTGCTAAATCTTTTTTGGTAACTAACATTTAAATAAAATATCTAAATACATTTATTTTAACCATTAATTTTTATATTTATTTTAACATTAATACATTTACTTTACCATAATTTTCATACAGCTTAAGCTAATTAGTCTTAAGCATTTCCTTAAAATTAATCAACTTCTTTTTTTAATACGGTTAATTGAACTAATTGTTAACGCAAACAACTATAAAACTAAAGTACTTCATTTAGAAAATTAAGTTACTAAGAAATACAAAAAAACAAGAAAAAAAGTTACTAAGAAATATAAAGTACTACAAAAAAAAGTCTATAATAAAATCTAATTAATAAAATGTTAATCAATATTTATATTATTCAATCAAATTTTCACGAGAAATTACTATCCTAATCCCTGTGATTTTATTTTTTTCCTTTGAGTTTAACTTGTTATAAAAAAAATACAACCCTTAACAAAAAATAGATTAGAGTATATCAATAAATATTGTTAATAAGCCATGAAGCTAAGCTGAAGCTTTAGATAAGTTGAACTTACTTGATGCAATGTTATTCCATAAAATATTAACATGTTCATCACGATCTGGTCTGCTTTGCTCGTGATACAAACCTAAAAAACATTTATTTTATACTTAATCTAAAAACTAGATTATGAATAAATCAGAAATTTTATTAAGTTATTTTAAATTATTTAATTAATTTTAAGTTATTTACCTATACTGTGACCAATTTCGTGCAATACTGTTCCAAGTTGCAAGCAACCACCAGCTAATGAAACCTCGTTAACTCTTCCTCGCATATAACCGACTAGTGAGGAACAACTAAATGTGAAAGACATTGATATAAACTGCCAGTATATATATATATATATATATATATATATATATATATATATATATATATATATATATATATATATATATATATAATAATAATAATAATAATAATAATTATATATATATATATATATATATATATATATATATATATATATATATATATATATATATATATATATAAAGAATTTTATTTTCAATAACTGCACAAACTATGTAAATGCAGATATAAATTTTTTTCTATTTCAATAAAACGACATCCATAAAAACTATTACGCTATTTTCTCTTTGTTTATTTATTTTTTTTATTTTTAAAGCATCGTCATTAGCAATGGTAATATGTTAAATATTTGTTATGATATGATATATAATAAAAAATTATTTTTACCAAAAATAATTTTTTATAATATCCTATATCCTAGCCTAATATCCTATCATTACAAATTTTGGGCTTAATTTTACAATTGTCTAAAATTTCTTGTAAAAAATATTTTTTTTAAATATGTTTACAATTACTATCAATAAACAAAGTTGTTTCAAATATACTGAATGTCAATTGTAAAATTTTGTTTAATTTTTTTAAGACTGTTAAAATTAAGGAAGACACCTTTCATTAGGAATTATCTCCTTTCAGATTTACCAGTTAAATTTAACTTTTTATTGTAAATTTATATAAAGAAGAAACTCTTAATAAAAAATAAATAATTAAATATACCCTCCGCCAGGAAAGAAGCTTAGATAAGCATCTTCGTTTGTTCTTTTTACAAACTTGAGACATGTGTGTTTATGATACTCGTCAATTGCTCTTAAAACATAGACATGATTTGATGAACCTTTAATTAAAAAAATAAAAGTAATAACTGTCAGGTATTACGCAATCACAAATTAAAAGTTGAAGTAAATCAAGTTAAACCTGTTAATCATTCATTAAAATTGCGTTCGGCTGTTGCTACAGAGACGCATAATATTAATATATTTTTTTTTATACTCGATAAGGGATCGTCCATAAGTTACGTCACGCAGTTTTTGACATTTTTGTCCCCCTCCCCTTCTTCCTAACCCGAATCCTGACCCTAACCCTAACTTCCCCTCCTAACCCTAACCCTGACTCTAAAGGCCGTTTTCCACAAGACGAAATATTCGCGCGAGGCGAATTTTTTCGTCGATAAGCATGCGCAGATAAAACATTTCTGGCAATTATTGCCCATTATGGCCAGAAATGTTTTATCTGCGCATGCTTATCGACTCGCGCGAATATTTCGTCTTGTGGAAAACGGCCTTAAACCTTAACGTGTTTTTAACACTTTATTGACCCCCCCTCCCATTATTAAGCATCAATTTTGTACCCCTTTCCCTAAAACAAATTTTTCACTTATTTTTAGGGAGGAAGAGAGTCTATAATTTGTCAATAATGTCTATAATTCTCTGAGCTTCTTTGAGTTAATTAATTAGTACTTTCCAGTCTGTTTATTACTTTTTTTTTCACCCTAAATAGTACCGTGTAAAGTTGTATAAATTAACATCGCTCTCCTAAACATGTTATCAATTTTAAAAATCTATTCTTCCGATATATTATAATACATGCAAAATATAATATATAATAAATAATAACATATTATACATTCAAAAATATTATTTTATGAATAAAATTTTTCTTCGAATCAGAATCGTAAGCATAGCAGAGTGGATTCTGCCTCCGGCTAGTAAACCGAGGGTTCCAGTTTCGTCACTCGGTGTCGAAAAATACTTTTTTTTAGTTAGTGCACAAAGATTGTTTTTTTGTTGAGGACACTTTAGTGCACCAACTAAATAAAGTTCTGCACTTGAGCCATATAAATGCAAAGCGCATAACGTGCACTACACTTAAAGCTGTAACAGTCCGTAAATAGGCTGTAACTACTCCGTTAACGAAATGTACATCAACTAAGTAAGATTTAGGCGTAGTTGATTTTACAATCAACATGTAGATACATCAACTGAGGGTTTTAGTTTAGTTAGGTACTCTTTTAATTAAAAGAAAGTCTTCTCTCAAAAAAAAAAAAAAAAAAAAATTTGCGTCACAAAATCAAGACCCCCCCTCCTCCTCGTAAGAAATCGTAATTTTTGTTACTTAGCTAAACATATTTCTTACTCATTCTTCGAAGTTCGTAAGGAACAATGTTGTTCGGCCATCGTCCTCCAATAATACTAGCATAACCATTTGATTTCACATCCCCAGGAGTCACAACCATGTCTCCTTCAAACAGATTGTTATCTAAAATTTAAAGAAAAATAAATAGAGTAAATAAATATTTGAAGGCGTTCACGAGTTTGTTTCAAGTTCACAAGTTTGTTTCAAGTTCACAAGTTTGTTTTAAGTTCACAAGTTTGTTTCAAACTTACTTTCCATTTCTTTAACCCAACTTGAAGCCACATGGCCTACAAAACAAAAAAAGAACAACGTCTTCATTGTTTTTTAGTTTCCGTTTAAAATATTATTTTTTGGCGAAAACTTTTATACTTTTTAAAATAAATACAGGTGCTTAAATATATTTAATTTTGTTTAAAGCTGAAAATATAAAAAAAGCACTTTTTGGCCTTTTTTTTATGAGCTAATTTACATAACATAGTTACGTTGACTAAGGTACAAAAAAAAAAGTTTAATTCATTGTTTGTTATAGTATTTAAAGAAAGTAAAGGAATATATTTATAAATAGTCCCAAAAATATTATTTTCTTTTTCTTTAAAAAAACCTCTGACTTTTTTTCTCAAATTTTCCTTAGACAAAAAGTATTTGTAAATTAAATTTATTTTTTTATTTACATAAATATCCATTATGTAAATAGTATTTAAGTTTAACAGTATAATTATTAGTAACATAGATAACATAGGTCACATAAATAACACGCTAATTTAAGTTGTCTTTTGTCAATTTAAGCGTATAACTAAATACACAGTATTTAGTGTTAGGTTTTAGAGACACGTACTATACACGTACTGTATACAAAACAACTATTTTTTTGTCATACTGCATAATTCATTTTAAACATAGCTAAACAAATTTTACTCATAATTCAAACTAAAAATAATTTATTGAATGTTTGAATAAATATTCCCTAAATTGGTTGAGTTCTGTTGAATTCGTCATATAGGTATTGTGGTTTATTCTCCACCAACTAATTGACATATAGAGGCCACATACCTGGGCCAGCAAAGACAAGTTTAGCTCACTAAAGAGCATCATCCCCCGCTTTGCTGACTGCGAGTAAGTAAATTTAGGAAGAACAAAGAATGTTTGAGTGAAATTCATAAGAAGTCGATAAAGTTTAAACCCCCCTTCATTTGAGAAGATTGCTAGTTTTGTTTTAAATACTCAAACCCAATGTTTAAACGTAATTACATGTAGTTACATGCTTTTTTTACTTGGCTTCTTAGTGTTCTACATAAAGCGAAAAAGTTATTGCGTATTACATATTATTTTATTATTGAATATAAAATATTATTATTTTATTATTATATTTATTTACCTCTATATATTTATTATGGCAGTTACAATCGATCAAATAGAGAAAATGATGGAAAAAACGTTTAAGGAGTTTAAAAAAGAAACTGAAAGCATGATCAAACAACAAGAAAAGAATGTGTTAAACATTATAAGTAGTAACACAAAAACATTATACGAGCGATTAGATATTTTCGAATCAAATATTAAAGAAAATTGTAAGCAGATCAAAACAATAAAAAATGAGGTTGATGATATTAAAGTGGGCCTAAATTTTCACGATCATCTAATAGATGAAAAAATTAAGTCTGTCATTAATTCACAAGAGAAGTGTAAAACAACAAGTGCAATACAAAGTAACGACTCTGCATTTATTAAAATTACAAGCAAACTATAAGAAATGGAAGATCGTTCACGGCGGAACAATCTGAGAATTGACGGAGTCAAAGAAAACGAAGGGGAAAGCTGGGAAGACAGCAAATTATAGGTAAATAAAATTTTTGAAAATGATTTAGGCCTTAGAGGCATTAAAATAGAAAGGGCACACAGAACTCGCTCAAAAAATTCAGGTAAACCAAGAACAATAATCATAAAACTTTATGACTTTAAAGATAAAATCGATATTTTAAAAAAGACCACTAATCTGAAAGGCAAAAATATCAAAAATATTAAAAATATCAAAAATATCAAAAATATTTACATTAATGAAGATTTTTGCGCTGAGGCAGTGCAAATTAGGAAGAGTCTGCGTGAATAGATGAAAATCAAACGAGCGGCAGTAAAGTTTGCAACCATCTCATATGATAAGCTGATCATACGCGATTGGGCTTCAAAGAAAATTAATAATTTAATATCCTAGTATTTTAATTTTTTAATATCTTGTTTTCGTGATTACGAAGTTATTTTATTATTTTTTCTTTTCAAAATGAATGACATTTTTTATTTAATTTTAATACGGAGAATAGCAGTTTATTCAATCAAAAAAACTTTAAAAGTAAATACTATTCAGTCAGTGAATCTACTCAATTTTTTAGTATTTTATTTAACTCCAACTATAAACAAATCAATCAGAATAATTAACACTTCATCAACATTACTTGATAATATATTTACTAATAATACTCATAATTGCCTCGTAGAATCTGATATAATTAAAACGGACATAACAGATCGTTTTCCTATATTCTTAATTTCAAATAATATAACAGATAATCATTCTGCTTTAAAATCTACAATCCAAATGCGACGGATCAAAGAAAACTCCTTGTTTCACTTTCGAAATCTCTTATCAGAAAAAATTGATTGGAATCTTATAGTACAATCACAAAAGGCTAATAAGGCGTATAATCTTTTTTTGGCGCAGTTTTAGGAATATTATGATTTGGCATTTCCAATAAAAAAAATAGTTTTAAATTCAAAATCACTTTTAAACCCTTGGATGACCAAAGGTTTACTAAAATCATCTAAGAGGAAACAAAAACTTTATGAAAAATATCTAAAACATAAATCATATAAAAATGAAATAAATCACAAAAATTATAAAAACTTATATGAAAAAACAAAGAAACACTTAGCATAATAAAAAAATTTATTATGCTAAGATGTTAAAAAAACCCCAAGGAAACACTCAAAAAATTGGACTGTGATTAATCAGTTAATTGGTAAAAATAAATATTTGAACAATAATTTGCCTAAAAAACTCAAAATTGATGGGAAAATAATCAGTAATAAAGAAACCATCGTTGAAAAGCTCAACAACTATTTCCTTGAAGTTGGCCCAAAGTTAGCAGATAAATTTTCAAATATCACCACAAATTTCAAATTCTATATAAAACCATTCAATATATCTAGTAAAGAAGTTAATTTAAATATAAATGAAATGCGTAATGCGTTCAATAGACTGAAAAATAACTTGTGGTGTTCCCCAGGGATCCATCTTAGGACCACTTTTATTTTTGTTGTACATTAACGATTTATATTTAGCTTCCAAAACTTTAAACCTTATTTTGTTTGCTGACGACTCTAATCTTTTTTACTCAAATAATACTATAAAAGATCTTTTTAAAATATTTAACAATTAATTATAGCTAATAAAAGTTAATGATTGGATCACTTGTAATATAATCACTTGTAATAATATAATCACTTGTAATAATAAACTTTCATTAAATGTACTGAAAACTAAATTCTTTTTGTTTCATAAACCTAGTAAGAGTGATCACCTCCCTCTTAAATTGCCCGATCTCTTTATGAATAATTCAGTTATTAAAAGAGAATCAAATGTAAACTTCCTGGGAATAATATTATATAAAAATTTATCTTGGAAATCTCATATAAAATCTATTAAAAAAAAATTTCCAAAAATATTTCTGTTCTATATAGAGTTAAACCATTTCTTAATAATATTTCTTAAGTCTTTAAAAATTATATATTTTTCATTTATCCATAGTTATCTAACCTATTGCAATATTGTATGGGGAAGTAGCAACTATGGAAAGCTTAAAAAAACCTATAGTAAACAAAAAATGGCATGCAGAATTATTTTTGGAGTTAAAAGGAGAGCCTCTCTTAATGGAACTTAATGCACTCAATGTTTATAAACTTAATATATATCAAGTTACGCTGTTCATGTTTAAATTCAAACATGGTTTCTCGCCTAATATATTTTACTCTTACTTTACTAAAATTTCTCATAAGTATCCCACTAATTTTTAAAATGATAATTTTGCAGTTCCAAGATTCTATTTAAAACTCAGTTCATTCCAAATACAATATCGTGAACCATTTCTATGGAATGAATTTTTTAAAAAAACTGTTAAAAATAACGTTCTTAAAAACATCTCTTTTGAACAATTCAAAATAGTATGTAAACGTTTCTTATTAGGAATTAAACTTCGATTTATTATATTTATTTTAAAATTTGACTATAAAATAAAATAAATTAACTAAATAGATCTTCACCTTTTTTGTTTTGAAAAAGTCATTTTATTTTTCATTAAATATGCTATGACTGTAAAATTATGCTATTTTAATATCTTATTTTAACTTTATAATATCTTTGTAGACAAGGCCGGCGCAATAGGGGTGTGTGACACCCCTCATCAATGATTTTTAGTCGGCAAACTGGACCCTTAGTCGGCAAATTGGACCCTTTTAGACTAGTTAGTCGGCAAATGTCGACCCTTTCGATATAGGTTAGACAGTCGGCAAATGTCGTCATAGCATTTTTTTTTTTAGTCGGCAAAAGTTGTAATGACACCCCCTTCCACCCACGTAACATCTACTCACGCCGGCCCTGTTTTTAGAAATATATTTTTGTTTTTTATATTACCTATTTTTATGTTTCAATTTTTTAAATTGTAATATTACTGACGGCTTCTATGTAAACGGGGCTCGGCGATTAGACAATATATCTTCTTCTTGCTCCGGCTATTTTTATATATGTAAACAATTTTTTTCTCATTGTAAATAGAATTGTACGGCAAATTAAATAAAAATATATATATATATATATATATATATATATATATATATATATATATATATATATAAATATTCTAGAACCAGTGTCGCTAATTGCCAGTCTGTCTGATAAGTAATTACCCAGTTTTTTTTTTGCTTTATCAAAGCTAATACTTTCTTATAAATTCATTGTACATTACGAGAAGCACGGACGGTTTTATTGCTTAATTAGTTCATCATATTTATTGAAGAAAAGTTTCTTATTTTCAAATAATTGTTAGTTTCCAGTTAGTCTCCATAACCATTTTACTCAAAATTACATATTAAAGTCATATTTCTTGTTTGAAAACGTAGTACTATTTTTTAGAAAGAACGACATAATCCTAATTTAATATGCAATGACTTTGTGACGAATTACCTAACGGCAAAGACCTTGATAAGTTGATTACTATTGTTTAAGAGTCTGTATAAGTTAAATCTAAAATAATTTTTGCTTTTCCATTAGATGTTTTTGAATGTTTAGAAATCAAATAATTGTTCTAGGTTATGATCAG